TTCCCCATCTGCACACATTCTCTCTCAAAACTTTAGTAGATTTTACCTGCAAACACTGCCCAAAGCTGCTTTTCAGGACCACTTCTAATGTCTTCCACTTTTGCTTCAACTTTCTTTCCCATTTAGGCATGCCTAAACATGTAATTTTTTTCTTCAGAACAATTACTCAGAGCTCTACTGCATACTGCTGGGACCTCCCATCTGCTTCTTTCAAGTACTGTCTGTCTTCTGCTACAAAATTCTCCTCTTTCAAAATCTTCCTTTTTCCATCCAATCCCTGGCCTCTCTGAGGTGTCTTTTCTGCCCCTCCTGTGGGATCAGGACATTACACCTGACACCATTTTCCTAAAATTTTATTGAATTTCATTGATTCTCACGGCTTCAAGCGCCACCACTGTGTCAGTGGTTCTTACGCCCAGCTGTGCACTCCTGAACCATTTCATTCAATTCCAATTCTACCTGCAGTTACTGTCTCCACCAGATTTAAATCTGGTTAAATTGGAGCTTGTTTCCTCTCAAGTCCTACTTCCTCTAATTACCTCCAGCCTTCCTACAGTTCAAGTCCATAAACTAACATCTGATTCTTCAATGCTTTATGCACCACAGTTGCACCCAATAGTTGGAATTTCTTTGCATAAAATGTCAAGAATATTACCCAGTCCTGATCTTCCTTTTGACCAGATCATTTGCTTACATCTTCATTAGCAAATTCTTCTGCTCACACTGTCACCTCTCTATCTTTCATTCCATGTAATATTTCAGCTGCTAAAAAAAATGCTTCCTTTATGCAGTACTTTGGAGACTCTGGATCTTCCAGTATTTCCACAGCCAGCAAGCCTATGAGCTCGAAACTGTACAGCTGCAGAACCTGCACTTCATTACTGGAAAGGAGAAGGAGGATAGTCTTCAGAGAACAATGTAACCACCTCTTAGAAGAATCTCATAACAAAAGCATTCCTCCGCATCTCATACATTTGTACTCAGGATACTGAAAACACACTGAAGGTTGGGCTAGGGCTGAATACCATCACCTCAACCCTCCCAAAGGTATTATTATTAAGGTCATTCTATAGCATCTAATCTTACAAATTTATGAGAAAACACCTGTAGCTTAGAGTTTATTATAATGCAGACTGCATAAAACTGAACTCCACAGCAGGCAGGGGAGGGAGAACCACAGTCAGTCTTGTGAAGTGAAATCCTGTTTGTGCGTGAAAGCCGGGAACTTGATGTTCTCACTACAGACTAAGAGCAATAAAAACAGCTTTCTGAGCCATTAATTTCTGCACAGCTGATTTCTACTAAACAATGCTCATTATTGAAAGAATTCTAAAAAAATGCGAGGCTGTTCCAGTGAGAAGGCTGGCACTCTGAATATCTAGACTGAGCTAACGGTGACATCAGCGCTACTACTGCTTTAATCCCTATGGCTACTAAATGTCAAACATTTTCATTGCATTTAAAGAGCTCGTGATTGCACACGATGAGATTGAGTTACTCCACAGTTTTGAAGTACGACAACTGCAAGGCACAGTGAGCATCCGCATTCTTGTCACCCAAAACCGCAATAATGGCAAGTCTTCAGTAACATCAGTCAGAAATTGCCATGCTTTTTCCACAGCCAAAATGTAGCATTTTTAGGATTTGTAATTTTTAAGCACCATGAAAACTCCCATCTTCAGACATTCCATAACCCAGCGAGGTCTACAAATACGTGCATAGCTGCCCCACTCAAATCCAAACTTATAAATAGGCCGTAGCGTTGAGTCAACTGTATTTGGGGGGGGTGGGAGGCGGGAGAAAGGTGAAAAGACTACGTGTCACTGCATCAACAGTCACAAAGTCCAGTGGAAACCGAGCAGCAGGCCATATATTTCTTATTGTTTGACAAAAGACACCCATGTAACATTAATTTGATCTACTTTAGAGAAGGAGATGCATCAAACTATAATTAACACAGTAGAAGGAACTGTCTTAACATACAATATAAACTTTAGTGTGGTAAACTATTTGAAGTAGGATATACTTTCTAAACATTCCTTAGTATTTTCATAATTTGTTTGGCAATCAATTACTACGGCAGTAAATGGACTACTATGCATCCTTCTAAAGTAATTATCTAGTAATTATTTTATCCTTCCAAGTTCTAAGTGGCTCGTATCAACCACAGTGAGCTAGGACACTGCTATAAAGAAGTGCAAGAAAACTGATCAATCTTCACATTGCGTAAGTGAGAAATTACTAAAAAAAAGAAATTAAATTCAGTAATCCTATTTATTCCTTATTGGGGGGGGGGGGCGGAGTTAAAGTAAAATTGTCATGAAAGATACAAATAGAAGAGGCATGAAGTCCCATAACTAGAGAAACTATGAATTTCAAGAATGAGGCCAAGAGTAGAGTAGGATATTGAAAAACTACTGATTCTGAGCATTTCAATAAATATATATATATATGAGCTCATACAGTTCAAGACTACATAAATTGCCCAATCAATCTTGTATCTTTAAGATCTTCCCCCACTCACTCATAACTAAGCAGCTTTCTCTTAATTGTGTCTTATTAGCAAAGTATGATTCACAGCTCTCCATAATAAGATTTTTATTTCTAAAGTTAGCATCAACTTTTCTTCGAATACCACACTTGAGTGAGTTCCTTTGGTACTCTGAATACATGCTGGCAAGTGAGATTTACTATAATGATCAGTTTGTACCCAAGCAACAACAGTTTCACATTACAGAGTAAGAAAGTTCAAGACTAGGGAGCTTTTAACCTTAGAATTTTAAAATAATTTAACATCTCCCTACAGAAAGATGAGGGGGGAGAGGTGGGGGAACTATCTATATACAAACATACATAATTATGTGTATGTACACATACATCATTGGTTCAAGAACAAACTTGGATTACAACAGACTAAGTAACTTGGTTACCCATACCAGAAGTGAGCTGATTATCTAAGTCAGAGTGCTAATCTTTTTTGTTGGGGGTGGGGGAGGCCTGTTAAAAAAAAAAAAAAATTAAAAAGTGAGAGAAACCACTTCACTAAGGAAAAAGGCCATCAACGCTCAGTTTTAGCCTGAAGTGGGAGTACATCATTCCTGAGATTCTTCCATACTAATTAACAAACTCACACGTTTTGAGTTTTAATCCAGAGTAAAGTTGTGAGAAGCAGAATTGGCAAGGCTGACCCATTACAACAAGAGTCTACAAATAAAATGATCAAGCCAGAAATTAAACTCCATATAAATCTTAAGTGTACCATTTTCAAACTATTAAACCCACTAATAGCATAAGAGCTGTAAACTGATGCATCTATACACATACTTAGGAAAAACTGACAGTAACTAGCACTATTATTTCAACAAGCCAAGAAGCGAGGAGTTACTGCAGTAGGCTCGCTTCCTCTGGAAGAAAATATAACCCAAATTCAGTGTCACCTCAAAACAATCATAATAAAGAAAGAACAAAAATGTTTCTGTAACATTCAATCACAGGATAACGTAAATGGAATTAATCCCCAAAGCAAAGTATTTCTGCAAGGAATAGAGCTATATACATCAACTGTTTAGACTTCAATAACCAGTTCATGCCGAGGCAAGACATTTTTACTTAAACAATCTGAATTTATTAGGAATAAATCTCAAAACAGCAGCAAGCAATTATGGCAATAAGGAAACGAAAGAAAAAAACCACACACAAATCTACAGGGACCATTTTTTAGCTTACCTGCACTTGTTCTGTCGAGCTACTACTGAGTTCATCTCCAGACTCTGAATCTTGGTGAATTTTTTCTGAGCCTCTGCTGAATCACAAGATTGTTCATGCAAAAAGCTGGTCTTCTCTATTTCCAGGAACTCCGGACACGGGAAATGACCCATGGAGATGGTTCTATACTGATTGGAAACCTTGGGAGATTGTAACTCATTGTTTAGTTTTCCATTGTTTTGGGCAAGGTCCAGACTCAAACCAAGAGTTTGACCAGGGCTATTGTTCGGTCCCAGATTTTGATTGGCATCTCGAACTAAGCAAGACACTTGAACTGGAGAAGATTTTCCAAAACTAGAAAGCTCTGGTGACTTATTCACATTTTCAGTTGATCTCTGTAATCCATGTGTCAACTTCAAAGCGTTATTTGGCAGCATGCTTGCTTGCTTAACAGGTGGCATCAGTGCTTTTCGTGGTATTTCCTTCACGTACTGTGCTGGCACATAAAAGGGTTTGGAATTTTCATCTCTTTTGACTTGCCACCAATCATCGTTAGTCTTTTTCACTAAGATGTATTTCTCCCCTTGCTTAATCACAATTTTCTTGTCCTTGGCCTCATACTCATAGTCGTACTCCACTTCAATGTACAATTGTCCTGGAAGGATCTTCCCACCTTTATCAGCCATTTCTATTTGGAAAGATTTCACCTTTTCAGGCAAAAGGTAAGCCACATTCTGTTTCAGAAGTGTTATTTTCCTGTTAATAATCAGAGCTGTAAGAAAAAAAACGTGTAATAAAGCAATTGTCTAAGAGCACTTCAGAGGAAAATAATTTCAAAAATAACCTTGCCTATTCAATTTATGTCAACCTCAGACTAATAAATTGATGGAAAAATGCAAGATGTTTAGATACATTTCTCAGTGATAAAACAGAAAGTCAGAAGAACAACTTAGTAACTGACTTAACTCTCCTATTCACACAAGCCTCCTGCTATCAAGTTGCTCATTAAGCCTGTTGTTTCTATTACTACATAACGTTGATCACCAGGGGCTTGTTGGGGGGACTAGTCCGAGTCAATCTCTTGCGTACACACAGCCTTAATTGCTTCACGGAACTGTGTTACTACACTGGTTTTAACCAAAATATTCAAAAGGAGAAGATTATTATTTGCTCATTTTGATACCTCTTCCAGTTCAACAGTTCCTTCAGAATGCTCAAAATTCCTTACAAAATCCCTTAAATCTTCCTCCAATGCTACACCCCAGTCATCAAGTTCAGCATGGGCTGGCAATCCTTGACCCACACGCACTGCACACTCTGCAGAGCCTGCTGACCTTCACCTAACTGGAGAAGACGACGACTAGGGAGCTATGCAACCCACACTGGCTGAGGCTGCAGATCATGCTGCCTCTGTATCTAGCTGTTGTCTATAAAACACGTGGTATAATTGCTTTTTTATTTATTTCTTTAAATTGCTAGTATAACAGCAACACAGAATTTCATCTATAACCATGGTAGTATTATATGTAAGTATTTAACATTTCCAAGATACTTGGTTTTCAGTGGTTTAAATTCTGCATATTTACTTTGCTCTTAAGAGAGCTTTTTGTGGTTTTTTTTACAGAAAGCCTGATCTAACCAAAAGTTTAAGGGCTCAAACAGAAAACACAAACAAAAACCAACAATAATGAAACAGGATTACGAACCAAAACCAAAAATGGATAATAAATGAACGGGTAATACATGAAAATTTTGAAAAGGACTTTTAGCATCTTATAATCTTAGCCACAACTGTATCCGCACCCATGAACTACAAGTTCTCTCTATTTAATCATATAGCATCAATGTCACAATTCATGAGTGGATAAGCATCAGTCTTGCCAACTTACACTGAACACAACACAGTAAATTAACATGAAAGGTTGATTTTCAAGATTAAGAAATCATAAGCATGTTAGTAAAGGGGAATATCTCTAGCATTCAAATAGAATGTAGGAGAATTCAAGTAAAATGCTGCCACATTTAATCATTTAAAGATCACATTTAAAGATTAAAAAATGAATCTTTTTAAAAAAATGCATGTTTCATGAATTAGAAAAATTATGTAGAAACTTGCAGCCCTGCAAGTTAAGACTTTGTGATGAGATTTGTAGCATTTACTCTGCCACAGAGTGGAACTAATGCAATTCCATGCAGGCACACACACACAGAGTGAACTCAGCTACCCTAAACAGGACTCAGGACAGAAACAACAAAAAAGGAATTCTGGGAGAGCTGAAGCAGAAACCCCTAACAGTTCTTCAATTTTTCTTTCACCATTTCTGCTATTTGGTTTGAGCCTTGGAAAAAAAAAATTAATACATTTCCCACATAACTCGGTAGAAAAAGCAGCAGCTAAAAAGCTCAAGTACGATGCCAAGACAGAAGTGCCCATCTTTAAACTGTGTCTTTCTCTCTCCCACAGTCCATCTTCTTTTACTTCCAGGAAGCACTTCCTACAGGTAACTTGAAAGCTACCATCATTTACAAGACTCCAAATGGAATCACAAGGTCAGACTTACAATTTGATTGAGGACTTGGCAGAAGGAATGATTGTACCATATTCAACAAAGCTGACAGTAGGAACACAAAGCAGTAGAAAAGAATGCTAGGATTCTGGTGTTTACTCTCTCTACCTTAAAACGGTACACTGAAATTCACAGCATTACAGTCTATTTACAGCCTCTGTACAAAACAACTTGCCTACCTGCTGTTCTACATAAACAGGTATTTTTAAGTGCATCTCTGCAGTTTAGCAACTGTAGCAGAAGGTAAACATGAACGAATTGCAGCCATTCCCACTCTCTTCCTAGTTTTTGAAGCTCTGCCATACAAATGTTATTTTTTCCTTGTTACTAAACCTGACTCCTCCCAACACTTCTTCAAAGCTGCTACCAACCCCTTTCACGGCTTCAAGGTCATACACCAGAAAAATGCATGTGTTTCCGAGTTACAATCTACCTCTAAGGTCTGCTACCTTGGAAGTTGAAATGTAGGACAAGGACCCATTCACACTGGTCGTCTTTCTCCCATACAGAAACCAAAAAGAGAACATAAGCCTATGGTTTCCCACAGGGCTACCAAGTGTTTAAAAGCTTGGATTTTTCACTTCTCTTTTACCAGTTCCATATAACTATTTATTGAGAATGCATGCTTAACATTTTTTCAAGACAAATAGGTTCAATAAGTTGCATTTTATGCTTAAAAAAATAACAGAATTTTGAGAAATACAAGTTAAATAAAATACAGTAGCTACAAAAATAGCTCCATCCACTTTTGAAGTCAGTTTTGCGGCCTCATCCCTTTCCAAAAAAAAAAAAAAAAAAAGAAACAACAAAAATAAGCAGCACAATTTTTTGTTCTTTCATCCAAGCTGCAAAATTATCAAGTCAATAGCAAACATTTGGTAATGTTGAGCATACGATCAAGAAGAGACAGGCTGTGTTCTGTGTTTGGCCAGAACACTAGAACAGTTTTACAAACAGATCACGTCATCAGGATCAAACAAGGCTCTAATTCTCCACCTCAACAGAGAGAAGCAAGAGATACCTATGGTATAGGTGGGAAATCTTCCTCAGTAAGTTTAGCAAATGGCAACATTAACCCTGTAGGGCTGCAAACAACTACCATGGCCTTGATTTCACAGATCCAAGTGCATTAAGTTTTATTTTGTTTGGATTTTTTTAATGCAGCTGTTGTGCCACAGAAGGTAGACTGCCTGTACCCTATGCACAGCCCAGGGGATAGCAAATTGTAATGTCCTTTCAAGGGTTCATGTATCTGTCTCACAGAACTCTGTTTAAAGAGCCGTGGAAACCTTGGCCAAACCTCTGCTGTAGGGGGCTTAAAATAATTCACATGTGAATGCACAATATTGACATTTGGAGTACTGACTTCATTGTGCTACTAGTGAACGATACTAGAAGCGATACGGCAGGTCAGACCTTGTAATGTCACTGTGTTTTTTTTTTTTTTCCTTTACCATTACCTGCAATGTTGCATGGCACCCACTTTGGTAAAGAAGGCTGAAGACCCTAATTAGAGGATGATAAGCATGAAAAATTATTTACTTCCACAGAGAACATCTCTAAGCTTTAATACCTTAAATAAAGCCTCAATACCTGATTAAAAGATTAATAACAATGAATGGCCACACTGACAGCAAAGACCTAAAAAAACTTATTCATGAATACCAAAAAACAGACTTGGGCCACACTTTTCTTCTGGTAAAGCAAAACCCAAATGCTACAGGGTAACTAATTTAAGGTGGGCCACATCCCACATGGAAATACATTCCACCCTTTCACAGAACATTTGTGCTGCCCTAAAGAGAGAGGACATTCGCGATTACATGCAGAGTCCTGGCTGCTTACCACCTGGGAGCGAGACCCGGAGCTGCCCAGCACCTGCCGCGCTCAGGAAGCGAGCGATGAGAGGATCTTTCGCTCGATACCCACATGTAGATCTTTTTGGGCTCTGATTTCCGATGGGAACCATTCCCATCTCTTACTCCGCTAAGGCTGAGCAAGGCTGGCAACTCTCGGTGCCCGCACTGCGCCCCTCCGCAGCCTCTCCCCGCGGGGGGCTGCAAACGGAGCATCAGGGGTTTTGCATGCTAACATTTGCCTCTAGCTAGATTTCATGTACATCCACACAAATGGGGACCTTTTCTAATTAGACCCCAATGTGACAGCTTCAGCCACCCTTAGATGGGTTGAGTTTGGAAAGCTTTAGGTTTGCTCAGAGGTAGGCATTTCCCAGGGCAACTTACACCCTACAGCAACATGGCCGCCTCCTTACAGCACTCAATCCTAACTGCAGAACGATGCTCACTAAATCCATCTTGAAGCACACGCGAATGGTCTTGAAAGAAACATGGTCCTAACACACACAGAAATGTGTATACAGGTATAATCATATACGATGTGTATATAATATGATCATAGAGCATATTAAATACGATCACCCCTAACTTCAGCATTATCCTAGAATTAAAAGACCAAAAAAAAAAAAAAAAAATCAGGAGGTACACAATAGGTGTTTCATACCTGTCTTTTGAAATTATCAGGCACGGAGTATTTTTTCCTGATCTTCTAGAATTACTCAGGTAATTGAGACTTGAGATATACTAAAAAGACTTTTTGCTATTTCTTTTATTTTCCTCTTGGAAAAAAACTTGCCCACCATGGCTATGGAATTGTTACTTACTTTATAATACAACCAGATGATAAGTTATTAAAAATGCCACTGAGGATATTAACCAATTGCCTTAAAATTCTTCATGTGACCTTGTTCACGGTGTCCTACAAAGCAGCCGCAGTTGACTTGTGTAATATTTTTCCATTTTCAGCATCAAACTTCACCCACTACTGAAATGAATCCTTCCGCAGCACTGATACAGAAATAAACTCAATTACTGAAGCTAAATTAGGATAAATTCTTATCATTTCAGGCCAGATGAGATACCCTGGCTACAGCTCACTAGATTCTATGATTCTGCTTCTCCCTGGGCAGTTTTCCTAGGGGTTCAAGCCGTACTGCATGACCACTGCTTGGGAGACTGGTCCCACAATAACCTTGTCAGAATTCAGCCCTGTTGACACCTTCCCTCCCAAGGGGCACCACTCTTTATCCAGCACAACCAACT